GGGGGGGGGGGGCTTGTAATACCCCTAAGCACTCATTCATTCTATGTCTTGGAAATCATAATAGGCTCCTGACAAAAGACTGCCTTGAATTCCTTGACGAAGACCCGATGTGCCCTCTATGCGGAGTCGCAAATGAATCCTCGAGTCACCTATTCTTTGAGTGCTCTTTTAGCTCAGAGATTTGGGATGAAATTCGTACTTGGGTTAGCCTCCACCATAGACCATCGACCCTTAAAGGCGCCCTCAAATGGACTAAGAAAGAGGCGAGAGGATCTAGTTGGAGATCTAAATTGAAGAAAACGGCACTAGCGGCCACCGTCTACTTCATTTGGAACGCGAGGAATAGGTTGGTCTTCGAAAATGAATACCAACCCCCATGCCTTGTGATACGGAAGGTAAAAACCCACGTCTATTGCACTATATTTGCTCTCTACCATAATGTGCTTACCGAATTTGAGAGACGAAACCTTGGTCATTGATGTTTTGAAATTGAGAGTTGAGGTTGAAGGGTGGCCGAGCACCCGGGAGGATTTGTTGAATTGAAGAAAAATTGAAAATTCTTTGGGCATCCCAGGCACTAGCGTCGTTATGGCCTTAGCGCCGCTAAGGTGTGGCTTCTAGCGCCGCTAGCCTGGGCGCGCTGTTACCCGAACACCCACAGCGCTGCTAAGTCCTTAGCGTGGGCATAACGAGGGGCACACAACCAGCGCCCGAGATGGTAGCGCAGCTATGCTCGAACGTCGTTAAGGACTCGCCACCTAGCGCCGCTAACCCGACAGATCCGCGCCACGCCAGATTCGCTCCACGCAAGTGCGCCAGTGTAGCACTCACGTCAGCCTTAGCGTTGCTAAGCACCATAACGCCGCTATCCTCTGAAGACAGTCTGCGAACCAGCGGAAACATTGAGCTCGACCCGCGCCTTGTGCCACCGAAACCCAGCATGGATGGTGGTCCGTTGGGACCCTTTCTTCACTTCTAATGTCTTTTGAGTGTGCAACTGGGTTGTGGTTGTCCTCGCTTGTTTTATCTCACGAATGAGGAACTGACTTGTGGTTACCCATTACGCTTGTGTATGCCGTTGAACGGTCTCGAACTCCATTTTGATCTATACACATTTTTACATTTAACGATAAAAAAAATAAAAATTCACTACAATCTTTTTCCAAGAGGGGTCTCACTGCCTGTCTAGACTGTGAAAGAATAGTTTAGTCTTACAAGGAACCGATAGGTGATCTTTCTCTTCGAAACACTTCGAACCACACTATCTAATGTAAGACAAGGAGTATGATTGTATAAATAAATAAACTGCAAGCATATGTACTTTGACCGAAACATGATGGCCAGATCAAAATGGAATTGATAGAATCTGCAAAATCGAGCTTTTACAGCATACCTCTAACAATCTCCCACTTATGCTTAATAAGCTCATGTCAATTGCTAACCACGATTCTCTTTCAATCTTAATTCTCAAAGACCTGTTGCCCTTTCTGTCATACATCCGACTTCCGATCCTTTAACATGGCCATCATCTGCTTTTGCAGGAAAGCCAATCCTAAAAGGATTTACCTAGTTGTCTACCATTGTAACTAGGCGACAAACATCCACCCTGTCGAAGTCCTTTGCAACGGGCGTACTTGATCTATGTGCCACTTGCTCTATGAACTAGTGATTCCTCTCTGTCTGTAACTGCACCAACTGTCATCACAATCAAGTTGTGACCTGACTTGGCCAGACGAGGTTTCACATTTTAAGTTCAATGGTGAATCCAATCTCTACATTGCTCGCCATTTGGGAATGGACGTACTGAGTTTATAGTGGAATCCGTCAATGCATCACCGCTTGACATTTTTCTAATCTGCTTGGTTTCCACAAGTGAACACAAACCATAAGGTGGTTTTTACTTGTTGTCATGTCTGATTAGAAATCAGTATCCTTTGTAATCCATAGGTTGCATATGGTTCGTCTGGTAACCCTACATATTATCCTTAGCCCTTTTACGGCACTTGATCTTATGTTCTACCTTGAACCACTGCTCCCATCTAGGATTACTTTGATATTTACTTATCATGCAATGAATATCAGACCTCATCTATTGCATATACTAGGTTTCCGCTTGCCATGCATAAGGACTGCCTCTGTACCATGCAAAATAGAATGAGCCTTATGTAGTCTAGTCATGAAATTCGGGATAGTCGCAACATATCATTCTTGTGATCCTCAATCTCAAGAATATCTGTTGATTCCGAATCTTTCATATCCAACTACTTGGATAACCATACCCTTGCGTCCGTCAACATCTTCACAATGTCTCCAGTGATCAAAATATTGTCTAAGCATAGTACAAAAATACCACCACGCTTCCATTGCGCCTCACACAATGCTCATTTGATGAATGATCAAATCCACGATTCAAACTTATCAACCAAATGATCGGCCCACTACTACAGTCCATAAATGGACTTTGTCAGCCTAGTGACTAAATGCTCTTAGTCCTTTTCAATGAAAAACTTCTGG